GAAGGATTCTTAAGCTCTGAAAATTGGTTTCCACCCCCTGAAGTTGCTGGTTTCGAAGAGGGTCTTCAAGGGTGAGTATTTCCCCCATTTATGCACTTTCTTGCACCTTGCTTTAGCCCTCTTTTCATATTTATTTAGGATTTACTTATAACTTAAAAAAGTCTTGTATTTAAGTCCTTTTTAAGTTTGCTTAAGGTCATTTTGCTCTTAGGGGTGTGTAGCCCTCTTGCATGCTTTGTTTGGCTTTGCTTTATGCCATATCTTGGAACCTCCGAGCTAGCCTTGGTTTGGCCATCCTACCATTGAAATCCAGTAGATTTTCAGTGGTAAAGGTGTGGTTTTGAGGTCCTTAATCGGAGGGGGTGACCCCCTCTCTTTTGGTTCCTCTTTGCTTGCATTTTTGGCCTTGCAAAGGACCATCCTTCTATGTATTTTTGAGGCTTGGTTCAGGCCCATTTTTTGTGACTTTTAGGACCAGCCTTGGCCCTGTCCATGGCTGGTTTGGTCATATTTTGCATGCATATAGTATGTGTAGTGTAACGCCATCCATAGCTCATCAAAGTAGCATGTGTGCATAGTCTTCATTGAGTCCATTTCAGTCCATTTTTGGTGATTTTTTTACCATGCCATGAATTTTTTTTGGGTCGGTTTTGTCACTCCATACTTGCATGATGCACTTGTAATGTAAATCCCCTAAACTAGCTTCATATGCTCCATGCCATGCCATGTCATTTTAGCTTGGTTGGTTTACATTTCAGCATGTATTTGGTCATCATTTGGCATGTTATGACCCTATCCATATTCGGTTCGATCATCCTTTCCATGCTCCATATAGGTGTAGAACAAATCTTGTTTACTAGCCCTTTGTGCATGATGTTTGACTCATCATACTAGTGTATTTTGGCTTCACTCAAACATGATTTTATGCTTATTTTGAAGTGTTCTAGGACTATTTTGGGCTGCCATGGCCATATCACTCATGCTTTGTATAGCTATAGTGTAAATGCTTAGGTTAGTCTTGGGTTTTGAGGCATCTGTCATGCCATACATGTGATGTTCGCATGCCTTGCCCTCATTCCGCATGCTATTTCAAGCCATGAAATGTTGTTGTACACTTGCATTTGACATGCCTTGAATGCTTTGTATAGCTTGTGCTTTATGCCTCAAGAATGAGCTTTTGTGCATGCCATTAAGCCTAAGCCTTCAGCTCATCATTTCAGTGCATTTTGGGTCTTATTATACCATGATGTAACTCTGTTTTTGGTTGTCCAAGTCATGCAATGATTGGTTCTCATAGGTGTAGTGCATTGCCTCTTTTGTAGCCTTGCATAACCTATGTTTTAGCATTGTATGCTAGCTTGCTTTGGCCTACTTCCATGCATGTTTTAGTCTCATATCAATATGTACTAAGACTGTTTTGGGTTGCCCTTGCCATACCCTTCATGCTTCGTATAACTGTAGTGTAATTAGCCTTGCAAGCTTCGTGTTTCGGTGATTCACGCATGCTATCCTTGAGCTATTTAAATGATTTGGCATCATTTATCATCTCATTTCAATGCATATAGTGCTGTTACACTTGCACATTTGTCACTTCTTAGGCACTTTTGAGAGTTGCCCTTTTAGGCCCCTTTGATGAACCTTTCGCATTTCGCAGGCTTGAGTGTGTTGTGTGGCTTCATTCATCACTTTTGGCTACTGATTTGGACCTAGTTGAGAGCCGTCCATCTTTGGTGTAAGCCCATCTTACCATGTTGTTGCATGCTTGTTTCATGTCGTATGTTGTTGCATACTTGTTTAGCTTTGTATACCTTGCATGCTCACATGTTCATGTTGCATTTTGTCATGTTGTCCATGTAACGCCCCACTACTTGCTGGCCCAAATAACTTGTGGGTCGACCAACAATACCCAAAAGCTTAAGTCCAAGTTATTTAGTAGCAAGGTAGTGGTGCTATATATGCCCAAGATCACCCATGCAAACTTCCGATGTGGGACAGGGTGTTACAAACTCCCCCACTTATAAATCCTTCATCATCAGACTCATCATTAGAGGAGAAGGAGGAAGAAGAAGAGGATGAAAATGAAGTCAATATCATGAATTTGAAGGTATTCATTATGCTCTGTTTTGTTTAAGTTATGATCGTATCAGTTGTATGGAGTTGTCTGGCATATGAATAATGTGTTTATATGAGATTTTAGAAGCAAATCATGGTTGGAGGTAAACCAAAACGACATATATGTAATGGAGGGAAAAAGAAATAGGAAAAGAATTGGGAATAGAAATTGATTGGACTCTTAGCCTTGCATGCTCACTTAAATGAGTGTGCGGCGTTGTCACGGAGCTTGGGGCGTGACAATTTTATGGTATCAGAGCCAGGTTGTAATTTTAAAAGTTGGTATAGAATAGTGGTGAGATTGGGTAGATGTAGGATTGGGAACGCTTATAATTTGGTAAAATGTTAATTTTATTTACGTGTTATAGGGACTTTAGAATAGAATAAGATGAGGTTTTATTATTGATGCATATAGGTTGCAATGGAACATGAGGAGACATTGGCAAATATGGCTAGGAATACACGCTAGGGTCAAACGAATCGACGGACTGGTAATAACAATCGGCGAGGGAATGTGACTAATATTGGTAGTGGTTCTTAAGCAGTCGAAGGAAATCAGGGGCAAGAGTTGAAGGAACAATTATAAGAGTTACTAGATAAGGGTTTTATTAGGCCTAGTGTTTCTCCTTGGGGTGTGCCCGTTTTATTTGTGAAAAAGAAGAATGGTAGTTTTCGCCTTTGCATTGATTATCGAGAGTTAAACAAGGTGACAATTCAAAATAAATATCATTTGCCTAGGATAAATGACCTATTTGATCAATTGCAAGGAGCACAAGTCTTTTTCTAAGAATTGACCTTCGTTCTGGCTATCACCAGTTGAAGGTTAGGGTGGAAGATATACCTAAGACAACCTTCTGAACTAGATATGGGCATTATGAATTTTTAGTGATGTCGTTTGTGTTGACCAATGCACCTACAACTTTTATGGATTTAATGAACAGAGTATTTTAACCCTTCTTAGATCAGTTTATGGTAATTTTTATTTATGACATTCTTGTGTACTCGAAGAGTAAAAAGCAGCACAAAGAACATTTGAGAATAGTGGTGCAGATATTAAGGGAGAAGAAATTATTTGCCAAATTAAAGAAGTGTGAATTTTGGCTGGAGAGTGTATCATTTTTGGGTCATGTGATATCTAGAGATGGGGTGTCTGTTGACCCCAAGAAAGTGGAGGCGGTGGCAGAATGGAATTGGCCTACTAGTGTCACTGAAATTTGTAGTTTCTTGAGTTTAGTAGGTTATTATAGAAGGTTTGTTGAGAGATTTTCCCAAATTTCTATGCCTTTGACTCGTTTAACACAAAAAGGGGTTAAATTTGAATGGTTTGATGATTGTGAGAAGAGTTTCCAGGATCTAAAGAGTCGATTGGTGTCTACTCCAGTACTTCTAGTTCCGTCCGGAGATGAAGGTTTTACCATCTATAGTAATGCATCGAAGATGGGTTTGGGTTGTGTCCTGATGCAGAATGATAAGGTAGTGGCATATGCGTCTAGGCAATTGAAGCCATATGAGCAGAATTATCCTACGCATGCTTTGGAGTTGGCTGCAGTGGTGTTTGCATTAAAAATCTGGAGGCACTACTTGTGTGGGGTGAAATGTGAGATATTCACTAATCATAAAAGTCTGGAGTATATTTTCACTCAAAAAGAATTGAATATGAGGCAAAGGAGATGGTTGGAGCTATTAAAGGATTATGATTTGACTATCAATTATCATCCAGGAAAAGCCAATGCAGTGGCTGATGCCTTGAGTAAAAAGACCCCAAGTAATTTGGCTACCTTG